GTCACAACAACAAGAATTTGCAACCAAAGGGTTTTCAACCTTGTGAAACAAAGGGAATAAGGGGCACATACAATGTCCAGCCTAAGCGATCACCTCTTGCACTTTCCCTCCTCTAAGAAACTTGAGAGACACAACATCAGAGTGATTCAACAATGTACAGTAGAACAATTTTTTTTATTGCAGAATAATGACTTACCCACAGCTCAGAAAAAGCCTCCAAAAACTAAGCTCAGCTTAAGGTTCGCATTCCAGGAATATATTTTTTCCCCCCCCACAATAAAAAAAAAAAACTCACCTCAACCTTTTGAGTACAGGCACATATTCACAGCCAGCTCCATGGTCACAGGCAACTGTGATCCACACAGGGTATTTTTTTTCATTTGCAAACCTGTTCTGTTGATTTTATACCTTCACCCTCTAAAAGGTCCTTATTTGACAATAGTAAATTACATCATTAAAGTTTTTGATAAACATCCCTGGATATTAGGAAAAAAAATCAAGCAGTTAGTCCTGTTAATCATAAGCCCTCTTTATACTGGATTTCAATGACACAGTAATTCTCCTATACTTTTCTTAGTGACTGTTTGCTTTCTCTTTTATCATTCACATTCATGTACTGTCTGGTGCACTAGCTGTCCTTGACATTCCCTTATTAGGTTTACAAATAATCATTAATTTGTTTTCTGTTCTGCCTCCTGTTTCAGTGATATATAGGCATGTCATTATCTTTCTAAAGCATATTCATTTCTCTTCTACAAAAAAGCTCGCTACTTCTCATAGAGGGTTCAAGGCAATTTGCATGGTACATAGTGTATAGTGTTTAGTGCATCTTCACCAAACTTATGCTGTCTATTCTTTAGATTTCATCGTTAATGGACTTTTGATCTGAAGTCTCTTTCACTGTTTGATTGCTCTCTCTTGGTCTGTGTGAAGTACACTTCATGTAATGAACAGAATATTTGACTCGGACTCAGTCTTGATTGCTATTCCTCATTTTGTTCCACCACTCTATCATAACTTTACATCTCTATCTTTTTCCCACCTAGGAAGTGAGCTACTCACAAAAATATGGTTGTGTGTGTGTTCTGTTGGTGTTTTCGTTATGTTTTTATGAGGGACAATCTTACTCCGGTTTTGTAAAGCATTTAGGGAATTAGTTGAGGCCTATAGGCACTTTTCATGTCTACTTTTTTCTGTTTCCACTTCTTAGCCTTGGACTATTTCTATTAGTTTACCTCAATTTTTCAGGTAAAACTCTTTGAAATGAAGAGGTTGCACCAAATCATAGTTTGAGCTCAGCAGTTACACCAGTGAATACTGTATTCGATACACAGCAGTTTCATAAAAGCTTTGCTAGATACTAGTAAGTGCTAATACTAATACATCAGAAGTCCTTAACAAAATTCATTTACATCTTGCAGTCACCCTCAGATGTGTTTCTCCTATCCATGCTAAGATGCATGGAAGCAGACACCTTATTTATTATCTTCTCACTCCAGCTGACTATCAAGTGACCTAAAACTTAAATCCCTAAATAAAACCATGATTTTCTTTGGATGCTTTTTTGTGGTTTTGTTTTTGTTCTATTTTGTTTTGTTGTTGTTTTTTTTTGTTGTTGTTGTTGTTGCTTTTTTTCCAGAGATTTTGGTAACCTAGTTTATATACCCTTGTTCTTCAGTGCTTTAAAAATGCCCAGACTTCCTAGATGTATTAAAAATATAATTTCTGAAAGTTAGAACACCACCAAATCAGTTCAAAAAATTCACTCACTACTAATACTTACATGCTTTGTTCCCAAGATTAACAACAGCTTAATAGCCAGAAAAGATAGATGTGACAAGATTTTCAAACTGCCAAGAATTTCTTGAAGTAATATAGGGAGAAGGACCAAGTCATGAGCCAGTAGCCATTCCCAGCAGAGTCTGAAGATTTGATTATCTTTGGTATCAAAAAATGTTTTCAGCATTAGTTGTATTAGTAATTACAAAACAACTGAAAACTCACTAATTTATTTGGGACTGGTGGAGCCCATTTTTTCTGTAAGAGAGACACCATCTATTTTCCATGGCTGATTAAATTAAAATCTTATTATATTGATATACATTTACTCAACAATTCAAAGCTTTAAAAAAATAATTAAGTAAAAGACCCATGAAAAAGCATAACATTTTTAATAGAAGGTGGTGTAGGGAATAGCATGTTCAAAGCCAGGTCCCACAAAAGTCTGCAAATGTCAGCCTCATGAAATAATCCTACTGAAGTCTGTACAATATGAGAGGCCACATTCTCCACAGATATTAGAAAAACTATCCTAGAGAACAAAGGGCACTGACTAGAACTAAATAATTTAGGCTGAGCTCTAAGAAGTGACCATCCAGCAAGTTATTTAATACATGACTACGGTGGGTAAACCTTTCCTGGCCTGGTGAATCCCGCTGTTCTCTCACTCCATTTCCACAGCAAGATGAGAAGAAAATGAAATAAAAAAGCTCATGGGTTGAGATAAGGACAAGCAGATCACTCTCTAAATATCATCAAAAGCAAAATAAACTTGACTATGGGTTAGTGAGAAACAAAAACTAGAACAAAGACACTTCCACATACCCTTTTCTTCCTGGGCTCACTTTCACTCAAAACACCCTCTGTCCCAAGCAGCCCAGGGAAAATGGTAAACAGGGATTGAGGCCAGTTCTTAGCACTTCATCTTCCTTCTCCTCCCTCCTCACAGCTTCCCCCAGTGCTGGGTCCCTCCCACGGGCTTCAGCCCTTCACAAACTGATCCAGCACAGGCACTTTCTATAGGCTGCGGTTCTCCAAGAACTGCTTCAGTACGGGTCCGCACCACTTCAGGATCGGACTGTTCCAGCATGAGTGCCTTCCAGGCTGAACTTCGTTCTAGTCTCCGCAGCTGGGTCCTCTTCTCACAGCAGCCCTACTGCTACCAACCTTGTCACATACTCCCCCATGCAATGACACAATCCAGAAAATGTTGGGTTATCCACTGGAATTGAATGAGTCATTACTCAATTCGCCTTTTAGGATAGGTATGTTCATAATAGGTGCTGTCACTACCCTGGAAATACGAATTGTTAGACCAGCACGAAAACTTACTTTTTAAAGATGGTCCTGCGATAAAGCAACAGATCAAGATCCAAGGCAAATTGCAGCCTCATATAATGACTTAAAAAAAAAAAAAAAAAAAAAAAAAAACAGCAGAGGACTTCAAGACATATATGTTAAAGAAAAGACAACTGCGGCAAGATTAATCTGAGTTACTCTGGAGAATCATGCTTTACCTAGTAGAACAGTAGTAAAATCTGTTACACTACCTGTTGCATGATATACAATGAACTAGTGGTAAATGAATGAGATACCTTCTTCTTTAAGTAGAACTACATCACCTGTTATTTATTCAGGCCAAGAAATCATTAGACTTTGCTTAGAAATGAAAATAAAGTTATCAGTCCCATACTGATAACACCCCAGGCATTTACCTGATCTTGGCTGAATACCTTATTTCTCTTTATATTACATTGTCAGGAGTCAGTCTTTACTTTGCTGTAACACTTGTACATAAGTAAAGTAGGTATAAAATGTAATCATGTTAAAAAAAGATAGCATTTCCCACCCTCTCTGCAAGAAGGATTATGGTCTAAGTCAGCCAGGGAATTTGGTCCAGAGCGTCTTGTGGCAGCTTTTTCCAACATAATCCAATTAAAGTGAACCTTGCGCTGCCTTCCATGCAATATTCTAGGAAAGTTAAGTCAAATTTAGAGAGCTCAGAGCAAAACAAGATTTATTTTTAATGTGTGTTTTAATTGCTAACACAATACAGTTGAATAAACTAACTGCAACTTCCACATTTTCCTAGAAATAAATTGTTGAAAAACGTTACTGCAGTTACTATGAAGTCATGTCTTACAGTGACAGATTTCTTTTCCCTCCTGTATGTAATATTTGTACAAATGACAAGAACAAGTAGAAGCATGTAGGATATTCATAACATTTTACTAGAGAATTACATTTGCATGTTTTTTCCAGGATTTTCATAATAGACATCTGTATTTAGGAGTTCGTAACTCCAGGATAAATTCTGTACTTGACTGGAACCTGGAAAACAGATTCCCCACTCCAGAGGTTTTAAGAAAAGGAAAAAAATATATAATAATCGGAACGGATATGCATAGCTTATTACAGAAGTGACATCAAAAGTAAATAAAGATGAAACTCTTTGTCTTCGTATACACCAATGGGAATCCTGCAAGCTTCAGAATATTATCTCTTTATTTCTAATAGAACACTTCATCCTTCCTGAAAGAGGAAATTAACGTATGCTTCAAGAAAAGGATGGAAGGCTTTCAACATGGAAACTCTCCTTGAGTTAGCCAGGTCATAACACATCTACGTGTGTTAATAACTGGGAATGAAGTCTGAAATGAATTGTATGCAAGTGTGAATAGAGAATTACGTAAGCGCATTTGATGAAGATTTGAAATGAGGTCTAAAAGACAGAATCAATCCATAGAAGATTCATAAGCAGAAAAGCAGAAAAAAGTCATACTCATTAAATAGTTGGGTTTTTTTTTCCTGTAAGTACCAAGAAAGTGATTTACTGAAAAAAATAAGATTGTGCTATGTGTTAACATAATTAACACTTGTTAAGCAGGACTAATACAGACAGGAAAAATAGAAATCAACATGTAACTTCAAGTCACTTTGAAATTTTCTTTTAGTTTATCTGATATGATTTACTGCCAGAGTGCAGTGAGTGCCAAAAAACAAGTGACTAAGTTATCCCTGAAGTGTTGCAATGGAATAAAAATCTGTTAACAGCCTGCACGTCAGTAATCTTTTGCAATGACCATTTTAAATCTCAAGGCTGAAGACAGTCTCAAATGAAGTACATCAACTACCAAATAATTTAAAAGGTCATGAAGAAAGTTACGCTTGAGTAGTTTTATAACAAATAAGCAAACCAAACAAGCAATAGCTCACCCGTTTCCCCTTTCTGCCTCACTTAGCACCATTCCTCCTTTCACGCAGTGGGGTTTGAAGCCTCAGATAATAAAAGGTGTCATGTGTTTATTAAGGTCACGAACATCCAACACCTGAATGATTTTGATATCCTTGGTACAACTCCTCAAATATAAGTCAGCCACATTTGTCTTCTTAACAGCATCAATATTACACACACATTTTATGACACGTACAACTTGGACAGTGGCAATATTTATACTCTTCCTAAATGTTTTAGATAAAAGGTGGAAGTCAAACCTCCTCCACGTTCATCTACCTGTACGACCATCTTAGTGAAGTCCTCAAGCATTGTACCCTATATTATTCATGCATCAAGTCACTAAGTATAACCTATATACTTAGAAGCCTCTAAGCATAACCGACGGCAGCTTCGTGAATCCAATTCAGACAGGCTTTTGTACATGACAAACATGAATCAGCTTATAAATCTGGATGTAGAAGTTTATCGTAAGAAAAACATAGAAATTTAATGCATGTTGTACACTGCAGTTGTATTTTGTTCATCACTACCCATGATGCTATATCATTAAGCATGCTTAGTTTCACTTAAAGCAGTCGGGCAGAGAACACCAAAGCCTTCCTCAGACATCGTTTAACCCAGTAAGCCTTAAGCAGCCCTGGATAAAGCATGCAGTTGGAGAACGGGGATAAATCCAGAGATAACACTTTTGGAAGAGTTCATGTCTATGTCTCAATGACCAACCAACAAGCATATATTAACAACTTTGTCATAGGTAATACTTGTAATTCACAGCAAGGCATGCTTCAAAAAAAAAAAAAAAACAAACAAAAGGACAGTATCTTGTGAAGTATATATTACTACTCTATAAATCTATACAAAACAAATACAGGCTCATTTACTCCTCTGTTACTCCCTTTTAATTTTCAGTGAAATCACTATAGCAAAACACGAATGCAAGACTGAATGACTTCACTTCAACCCTGGAAGTCTCTCTCTTCCACAACAATCAAACAGGCATCCTTCAGTCTGAGCAGAAGGTATAAGCAAAGTTTAGTGCTCTGACCCTCGTAGGTCACTTAATCTCATCTATCCTCAATCAAAAACTACGCACTAGGAAGGTCAAAAAAACTATATATCCCACACATTCTTAATCTGCAGTTTTTTATTTGAGATTTCCACAGATCCTGTGGGTTCATCTTTCAGATCATGAAATGAGAACTACACAGCATCCTTCCTATGGAGTAACAGAATTACTGAGGAAACCCTTATTTTCTTATTACAACAGCATTTTCAGACCATCATTCTCACATAGCAACATAAAACCATTGAAGCAGAACTCTCCATTCTCTGGCAGTAATAGAGAAAAGCACAGTTCACCTTCTGAATCAAAGTACCAATAGTCACTGGGCAGCAGCAGCACAGAGAAAGCCTTCCTGCAGAGTCCTGAGTCATCGGGCTCAACTTCTGCCACATTCTTACATTAGGCATCTGCCTGCTGAGCGCTTATTTGCCAACGCAGTAAGAGGTAAACATGCTAGCCACAGGAAGAAAAACAATAAAACAAACACGAGAACGTGGGGAAAAAGTACAAAATTGTGTAAACCTCTAAGACAAGAACTAGATATAGCTCTCACCCCAGCATAACCCATGTGAGAAGTTCCTTAACGTGCTCCTTCCAGGGACTCCTCTGAGGATTCAGAAGTGCTTGCTTACAGCCATTACTTCAGATATTTTCATGTACTGATTGACCTTGCAATTTTTGTTTACTTGTTTGTTGCCTTCTTACAACTAAGTATCAAGCGATAAAACCCTGAGTTTATGAATTAGCTATTCAGATCACCAGCTAAATCAAACCACTGCATATCAGCTGAACTCAATTATTCCCTTTTAATCTACCAAAAAAGATCTAACCCTTTTAGAAATTAATATTTCTCTTTCATCTTCCTAGCAAGTCACAGAGTATAAACATCAATCAGTTCCAAAACGCCAATTAAAAATGAAGCTTTCCAGATGTTTTATTATTTCAATATGTGTAGGTGCCTGTAAGAATAACCAGCATTCCTATAAGAAATCATCTCCCCATTTCACTGCTAATGCAGCAGTCAAAATCGGCCACCACAAAATCAGCTTTTCCTAAGTCTGTTAATCAAGTAATATCAAAGCAGCAGAGTCATCAGTGGCAAAATTAAAAGATCGCATGAGAGGAAAAGCCAAAGAATGAGGATAAGTGGATAACTTCTAACTTGGGAGAAGTTTAACAAGAAAGGTACTGCCAAAACCTCTGTGCTGGTTTGTCAAACCTTTTTCCTTGATTTGTAGCCATTGCCTACACCTCTTCAGCGCTCTCAGGTGTGCCTATAAGGTCTATGCAGTCACTCAAGAGCTTTGCTAGCAGAGGCTGTGGGCATGCTGGCATTATCCGACAGCCTACGCATTTTAGAGTAAATGACATGTGCAATTATGTAATGGTCTGTTTTAAAGCCCATTATGGAATTTACAATATAGTCCCACAGAGAACCTACAGATGGGAAGAATAACGTAGTTTCTTCTGTCAGAGAAATTATTTATACTATCAAGCCTCCAAACTTTTGAACAGCGATTCGAAAGACAAGAGGGTGAATCAGAACAAAAATAAGGAAAATTAACCAATTGCAAAAGTATGGCTGAGCAGTGACTTACTTAAATCATACACATTCAAAACAACCTTCTTCAGAGATGAACATTCTCCTAGCTCACTAGCAAATAATAGGCCAGTTAACTATGACAGTATCTACTGTTCCTTAAAAGGGAGCTTACAAAATATTCTGACAGCCTACAACTTAATTGGAACTTGTACAGTCAATGAAAAGTAGAGGGAGGAGATAGACACAATACTGAGGATGTAATTTTTTTTTGGTTTAATACAATCAACGTGAGCCATCATTCAAAACTCTGAAAAAGTCTTCAGAAGAGATACTTAAGAACTCCCCCTCTTCCTCTCTTTTTTAAATTAGTACTATTCAAAAAACCACGTCCTTATCAGGCACTAAAGTATGTTCATACTCCTCTGGAAGAAAAAAAAAAAAAAAAAAAGATTGCTATCTGCCAACTTGATGGAAGAAGAATAGAATATCAGCTTTATTTCCAGGAGGAGCTCATCTTTATTTAGTGGCTAAATTTATGTGAAAAAGAAGTGAATAAGCACACCCATGGCAAATCACTGGAGAACGCAGATCCAAGCTCTAAATCCACTAAATCAAAGACAGAAGCCTTTCAAATGCATGTGCCCTATATTGTGATATTTACAGACATTTGCACTCTGTCATTGTGGCCTTTATGTCAACTTCAGCTTTCATAAGCTCTGTATATTAATTCTGAATGATTATTGAAACGACTACACCACAATTTAGAGCTTAGCAAGTCTGTTAAATACTTTTCAAACATGCATAACTAATCTACAGTTTTATATTCCCTATCTGCAGCCTTGTCGTGAGGACATGTAACTGCAGTACAGAGAAATCACGATTTGCATGATCACATCTCCTCCCACATTACTCCCATTATGTGAAAAACAGAAAACTGTTACACCTGCAAAGTTGTCATGTAAACTGCAAACTGGCTTTGTAAAATATTACTTTTAAAAGCTTGGCTTTTCAAGGCACTTCACCTGTTAAAAAAAGGTGTTTGTTTTTTTTTTTAAGCAGGTTTCCAGTCTCTCTGTATGGAAACATACTTGATAACAGCAACTGTGCATTGAAAATAAGACAAATTAGTCTTAGGTTTTTTTTTTTTTCCCCCAAAGACCATTTTCAAAGGCTCTTGACCATTTCTCATATAGCAGTTTCAACTCATTACATGCTTAATAAGGAAGGACCAGTCACATCTTTAATCAACTCCTGCACAGCCTTCGGTGTTTTTAAGAGATGTTCAGAGTCAACTCAAGGTCTTCTGTGGAAAAAAAAAAAAAAAAACAACAAAAACTGTCCATCTCATTACTCCCTGGTGAGCAAGCAGGGACAGGAAGATTTAGACCCAGAGAAGAGAGTAACAGATCCACAGACTTCCATGGATTGCACTCATCACTAATTAATTTAGATCACTACATAGCTCTGAAGGACTAAAATTAGAGGAAAATAATTTGAATGTTACTTCTGAAAAAGAGAGGATTGCTCCTTCTACATTACGAGACAGCAGAAAACATTAGTTACACATCTAATTGTCACCATGAAGCTATGAAATTAGAATTTTGAGCATTAAGATATGCTTTGAAGGTTTTTTTTTTTCAGAGGGAGGAAAATATTAACCCATTTCTATCACTAAGCAGCTACTGACTTTGAGAGTACTACACAGAACTGCAGGAACCTCAAAGAAAATTGAAGTTCGAAAGTAAAAGTTTTGCTAAGAGTTTCGTGCTAGAGCATACAGTTTACTTAATATAAACAGATATATCTCCAAGTAACGTGACAGGTTTCCATACCATACATTTGCAACATTTCTCCTGGCGTACATGACCCAGTAGATTCATGCACTATAAATTAGGTTAGATGTTCTAGATATCTTCAAACCTCTAGATCTGAGCGTTTGGGGCTGTTTAGTTTGGAGAAGCAGCAGCTGAGAGACCTCATTACTCTACATAAGTACCTGAAAGGAGGTTGCACAAGGAGGATGCCAGTACCTTTTCACAGGTGAGACAAGGAAATAATATCAAGTTGTGCCAGGGAGATTTTGGTTGGACATCGTGAAGAATTTTTTCCACAGAAAGGATGACCAAGCACTGCAGCAGACTACTCATGCAAGTGGTGGATTCCTCATCCCTGGAGGTATTTGAAAGTTGAGTAGATGTGGCATTAAGAGACACAGTTCAGTTATTGGAACTTGACAGTCAGGTCAGGTTAATGGCAGGACTCCACGATCTTGAAGGCCTTTTCCAACCTAGATGATTTTATCAAATTATAAACTACCCTCCTGACAGAATCAGAGAGGGACACTGGGCCACCTCATCCTTTTATCCCTCTCCTCCCAGGCATGCTGGCAGATACAGTGCTTATGCTGTAGATACTGTACTGAGTGCTGGCAGCTGCTAAATCACACACATGGGATTTGTTACAGGGAAGCGTGCACTTCACAGAGTAAGTCAAGACAAGGCTTTTGTTTAATCTTC